TACAGGACTACATTCGTTGAGAGCTATGCTACACGATGTATTTATTAAGTCCTTTATTCGAACACTGTATTTACCTTTCTTTGATGATTTATATATATATATATATATATATACAGATAAACAATGTCGACACATTTTTTTCGACAATGTATTTTAAAGAAGTAAATATGATTGAATAGGCAATTAAAACCCCATTATTATGACAAGAAACAATAAAAATATGTACAGAATTAAAAAAGTCCACTGATTAATCTCAGATACGATAGTATAATACATACTCCAAGTATCATCGAAATGCACGCCATCGTGTGGGGATTCAATATTTCGACATTAATTATCAGAAAATGAAAAATTATCCATATTTGCAAGCTTATTTTTTAAAATTTTATTTATTTTTTTGAGCTTGATGTGTATTTTTTCAATGTTTACTTTGGACTATGTTGCTTGAATTTCTCACAGTTTGAATTTGGGCTTTACTTGGACGGGAACATGAATTAGTAGGCGCTTTGTAGGGGTCAAGAGGAAGAGCTCTGGTAGGGTTTTAGAAGAAAGATCACTTAAATTGCAGTGAAGCATATGCGTTGAAATTCATCATCATTTTGATGGTACTTGTTGCAAGGGGATGCAGGCCCAGTTCGATTTTTGGACTCAGAGAGATTTGTTCCAGAAGTGGTTCGGTCGAGCAATAGACCCCGGGGCTTGTGATATGAGAAAAATGCTTTGATAATAGAGCGCCCTCTTTTTTGCAACTGATCCGACTTGTATGTTTTGATTCGTATCTATCCCTCCGTCCATCCGGCGGTAGGTCGGACCCTTGATAAATTGACTGATCAAACAATTGTCGTTCGGTTGATCGATTAAAATATAGGCACATAGACAAAATAAAAGAAAGAGCACGTCGACGGGAACTTGTCCCCTTCTGGGGAGAAAACAATCTTTAAAAAATCATACATTGTGGGCTCTCTTGACGAGCGGCCCACGTGCACTCCTGTCGTAGACATCGGCTCCTCTGCCGTCGGGCATATCCTAGTGCTATTACTGTCTTTCTTTGACTTCAGGCTACTTAGGCCCCTCGAACCAGTCGAATGAAAATATTCTACGAGGAAAAAGGTACTATAGGTCGAACATACCGGTCGAATACACAAATAACTCATGGAGATTGTTGATCATTGAAAATCTAATTAACTCATAAGCATGGGATAACATAGTAACTATGGCAACGGTTGCAAAGGAAAACCAATCTGATTATGAAGATGCTCGTCTAATAACAATGGTAGGCTATATTGTTTAGACCTAATTAATACAATCATTCATTATAACGATCGTAAGATCGTGAATGGTAGACGTCGAATTTTCATGAGATGCATTAATTTTTATTTTAGAATTTCCTTTGTCATCTTTTATGAGCCATGAGTATTGAATGATGTATCACGACTTTATGAAATTAGTTAATATTTTTATCAATTTAATTTTAAGACCAAGATATATGTTACCCTATACGTTTGTTCCTATAAATATGTTCTAAATTTTTTATCACTTCCATCCTTGTTTCTATTTACTTATTTTGTTTTGTTTAATATTTTGGAGCCCTTTAAAGCTTTGCATTTTGCGATTTACATATCGATTATCATTTATTTTGTTTATTGTTAAGAAGAAAAGAGAATTTTGTTTCTCAATGGTAAGCATACTTTCAATTAATTGTGCCAATTTAGTCGTTTAGTTGTGAAGTTATAGTTTATTTTAGCAGCACTAACAGTTTCTTTTATTCTTGTCGTCGTCAACAAAATCATCACCATCATCATCATCTCATCATCATCTTTATAACATCATCTTTATAGTCACTATCATTATCATCATGTTCGTTGTCTTCTTCATTATCATCACCACTTACCGTCATTGTCGTCATCATCATCATTATCCTTATATCAACATCATCGTCATTGTCATCATCACAATCATCATCCTCATCTTAATTTATCATTATTATCATAATCTTTTTTTGTGTTTCTTTTTCATCCATCATCATCGTAATCCTCAGCATCATCATCGTAATAATCATTGTGACCCTCACAAGTTTATACGTGTATGTTATTGTAACAATATAATGTATTTAATACCGATGTCAATCATTCAATACCTGATTGAATGATGGATGGTTGTCAGTCAGTCTAGTGACAGCCATGGTCTTACAGTACGTCCTACTAGTAGTTTTCATAATGTCTCATATGAATTAATTTACCCGAAGGGAATGAACTCATACAGGTATAATGGCATTACCTGTTAATTACATTCAATGAATATTGTTACCTTGTACCGTCTAGAAAAATTGTACATTGTACATTATGAAAATAAGCTTATGAAAAGAGAAAAAAACAGCCAATAGGCCTATGGTGGAAATTCATAGCCAGTTTAAGATCGTCTGGGATGAATTATCCAATAGCATCTGACCAAGTTCCTCTAAACCAATGCTTGGTTCCCACCCTGGGACCTGCAAAAAAGTAATTGGGGTCAAAAGGGGTCTGCGAAAAAAATTTCATGATTCGATTATTTTTCTTACTGCTAATCATTAGCTGCTTTATGAATAATGAAATATCTCTGACATATGCATAGACTTCATTCCCTGTAAATTGTTTTAACTGGCATTATATTTTAATTCCAATATTTTATTGCCGATCTGTAGAATCTTTTATAGTTGTTTTTTTTTTTATGTGCGTTTTATAATGTTAGGAGAACCACTTGGAGTGGCAATCCTCGGGTAATGAACATCTTGTTTGTGTGTTTTTGCGTATTGCCTTTACCTGAATATTGAATAAATAAGAAAATATCAGTAGGAGCCTTAAATTTTACAAAATTAAAAATAAATGGGGAGTTAAAGAAAATTACATTCGAATTCAAGTGCCATAGACATTAAAATTTTGAATGACAGTCCCAATCATGGTTTGGCTGAGATGTATCGACCCCTAAAATTGATTTTCTGACCACTCATCGATTTTAAATTCCAGGATCCGCCACTGTTTAATGTTGTACTTTTGTGGCGAATCATGCATCTTCTATCTATATTCTTATTGGTGGAATGTCAACCATAATTCGACCTAAATTTTACAAAATTAAAAATAATTGGGGATAAAAAATACATTAAAATGGTGAGTCTCAACGTGAAATTTCCTGCAATCTAGAAGTGCCATAAAAATGTACCTCACACTGTGGTGGGGCTGAGGTGGTCTATTTCGAACACTAGACAGGTGTCCGTAAAGACATTTAACTATTATCCCGAGTGGTCCGCGAAAGCAAAAAAGGTTGGGAATCACTGCTCTAAACCAGAGGTTGCGCCCAGCCCCCGCCGCTGAGAGCTGAATTCATCGGGGGTGGGGGGAGGGGGGAAAGTACCGTGTATTCTAGTTACTTAGACTCTATAAAATCGATTATATAAGACTTTGAAACCCCTAAATTGTCTTTTTTGGAACCTCGTCTCCTGGACCACTTTCAAAACATTTTAAGCGACGCCCGACCACACCCACTTTATTCTCGTCGGAGAT